TGTCCAAAAGGTACACAAAAGGCTGTTTTGTACCTGTCCTGTTCTGCAATCTGTACTTGGTAATATCCAGACTTAAGATCAAATTTAGAAAAGATTACAGCAGATTGTAATCTATCTAAAAGATCTTTGATGTTGAGAATTGGATATCGGATCCAGCTCAAAGCAAGATTGAGTGGTCGATAATCAATAACCAATCGAGGAATTCCTCTTTCTTTTTCAGCATTGTTATTGACATAAAAAACTCTGCAACTCCATGGGGAGTGGCTGTCACTGACAAGCTTCTTTGCCATTAAAGAGCTGATTTCAGTTTTGCATAATTCCAAGTAGTCAGCTTTCATATGGCTGGGACTAGCTTTAGAAGGAATCATAAGATCGGTAAATCCCTTTTCATAGGGTAAAGAAATAATATGCTTCTTTCGATCCCAAAAAGCATTAGGAATCTCATTACAGATTTCCTTTAGAAAGTTTTGTCGTATTGACTCAATTTTCTGTTGCTCAGTGGGTTGTACCAATCTTTGATTAATTGCTAAGGAGGATACCTCTTTTTGCGAATAATTCAGTTGTTTTTCCTTAAAGATAATGTTATCCTTAAGAGCATTGATATGCTTGTTTACTGGTGGGGTCAAAAACTGAAAAGTGACTGACTGGTCATGTAAAATAGAGCATATTCCATGAGAATCAATTTTCTCAATTGGCATGATCAAAGCTAAAAAGGGGGTGTCCAGAATAACTTGTTGTGCCATATTCCTGATGAGTAAGAAAGTAGATGGTAAACAAATACCTTCTTTACAAATGAAAACATGATTAAGTTTATACTTAATCTGCATTTTACCACCACTTGCACTGGTAAGACCTTGAGTGGTTTTTTCAAAATATTGAGTAGGAACCAATCCTTCTTGTATACAGTTCATATCTGCACCACTATCAACTAAGGCAATAGCATTAGTGATGGTGTACTCTTGATTAATTACCAAATTGATAGATATATACCATTTTTCTTTACTGAATTTGGAATCCCTTGGATTTGGAAATGGGATTTTCAATGTGGTAATACCACTGACAAGTTACCAGTCCTTCAGAGGATCTTCTTTTACCGATGGTGGTCAGGCATGACTCAAGACCCTATCCAAGCCCTCCTCCATCTTATCAGAAAGAAAACATTGGAATACATGGATAATGTTCCAAAGTTAACTATACCAGAACCAGAAATCTTTAACCCATTTGAACTCTTTAAAGATATAATCAGAAAGCAACAACCATTAATTACCGAAGCAGATTTAATGGTTAAATGCATGGATTTTATGAGGAACAAATTTGTTAAATCTTTTGATTCCTCCACACCTACAGTACGAGATGATGCATCCATGGTGTCAGTCTCTAGCCAGACCAGTCAAGATGGTAATCAGTTTTCCTGTCTAGCTGGTTATGCACAAGATCCCAATGAAGATCTTATTTCTGAAGATGAACCCACAGTAGCCGATTATTGGGACTCCCTCACCGGCCACTTGGTGGACAAGATGAATCCACCCAAAAAGTAAAGATTCCTCTTATCTTGCCGACAGAAGAAGACAAAGAACTTTTCCCAAAAGTCTTTGGTTCTACAGTATTTCCTTCATCAGATGTCTACTTTTCATCAGATAAGGAGACAGCACTTAGTGGTGGGCCGACCGACTGCATTATTCCAGCACACGATCCTATGCACTATGCGGACTTCAAAATGATAATTTCAAGTCCATTTCATGTATAAATAGAGGGCAAAGGTTCCCTTAAATGTATCTTTCAATTTTCTTTTTTTCCTATTGTAATATTTCTCTCTGTACTAGTTTGGAAGTTCAATAAAGAAGAAAGTTTTCTGTAAGTTTATTATTATCTTATACAATTATTGTTATATTCTAATAATAAATAAGACACTTCAATGAACTCTCAAAACATGAAATGATTATTATATAAAAAAAAAATAACATTTTAAATAAAATGAATCATTGAAATAGAATTACAAAAATATAATAAAACATGAAATGGTTATTATATATAAAAAAAATAGCATTTATAAAATGAATCATTGAAATAGAATTACAAAATTATAATATTTTGGCACTGTAACTATTCTCAAAATATAAATTTGATTTGATATGAAAATATAACATTTTGCATTAAAAATGCTCAAACATTATTTTTTAGAATAGAGAAACATTTTTAGAACAAAGATTTGTATTTACCATTTAGCCCCCTAATGTCATTTCTTTTTTTTATTTATTATTTATTTATTTATTTTTTTATCGCGAATGGTAAGTTCTTTTAACTTTTGAAGTTTGTACTTTATGGACAAAATATTTATGACAAAAATAAATAAATAAATTACACCACGTATCTTAAGGTTTCGTCCATGTATATAATCCTCATATTGATTTTTTTTTTCTTTTTTTTTTTTTTGTTGGCACCGAAACTCATTTAGACGGGCCCCTTTAAACCCATCCTAAATTACAAATCGAGAATGCTGTTAACTGCCATAATCCTCATACTGTTGCTTTCGTAATATATATTATATTTATCACAATAAATGTCTTTCAAGTTTATAATTGTACTTTGATTATTTATTTATTTATTTATTTTTCTTGGTCAAACACAACTCACATATTTACTGTCGCACATTTTTTGGCACCCGAGGTTGAACTCCTTCCCCCTTCTCGGCCCACACTATTTTTCGTTGTTCAGATTGACTGTTCACTAAAGAAAGATTGTGCTATTTACATAAAAATCTTCGAGGGAGGAATAATTTGGTAAATAAGGGAAGAGGTGTCAGAAAAGCTACTTACTGAAAAAAAAAAAAAAAAAAAAAACACAAACAAACAAAAACAACCACCGACGTCTAGTCTAGCCTAATGGTGTAAAACCCTGTGAACAGTATTATGAAATAACTTGTTGAGGTAAAAGACAATTTTACCATTATTCTTTTTTCGGGAAATTGAAAACTTTTAACGACAACTACCAACATATTATTTTAAAACAGATATTTTGTATTGTGAGGGCTTTACGGCTGGTTTCTTAAAACCCTTTAACCACTTTGCTATAAAACCATATTAGTGTGATAATTATTTGAAGAAATTTTAGCCTTTTTTTTTTCTAAAGCTAAGTCATATATTATTGCAAATTATTTTCTTCATATTTTTTTTGACAATGGATAAAAGTCAAAGGTGCTTTAGATTGTGTTTATCCATTCGCTTCCATTTTCATCAGAAATTGATTTTTCACATCAAAAGCAAAGTTGTTGAGGTTTTGAGTTTTGATATAAAATTGTGGGTCCCATGTCTACCTAGGTTAATTTTGCTAGGGAGGGAGGAGACTGCAACTTTGAAGAAACTAAATAGACACTAGTAAAATCTTATAAGTGAATGTTAACCTTCATGATGCACTGCTCAATAATTTTCCTACCTAGAGTACCAATCCAGGTCCTAACCTACACCATTTTAACTAGAAGATGGGTAATTTGCATTGGAGAAATGTATAATTATTACAAAAAATACATGGGTGGTTCCTACAGCAGCATTTTAGGTTTGTTGAATTCATTGGGGGCATCCATTGGTTGAGACTTCAGAGTATTCCCTCATTGGATTCAATATAGAGCAATTATTCTTTAGGTTTATTGGTTGAATGGTATACCCTAATTTTATTGGTTAAATACAGTAAGACCATACTAATGTATGTTCAGGCTTTTACCTTCTGCTCTTTCACTCCTTGACATAGTGAGTCATAACTAATGTGCATTTTGGGCCCTGTTCATCTGATTTTAACACCCACTGTGTGACTAAGCAAGGAGACACAATGTGCCTTTGTACACCTGCATTGACTTCCTAGGTGAATATTAACTGATGAAACTGTGGAGATCTTTTTTTTTTTTTTTGTCATCCAAAAGCACAAAGGCCTAAAGCCAAGGTGGCAGTACAGAGGCTTATAAAGCCAAGCCAGAAAAGGCATACAAATCATGAAGCAAAGCAAATAAATGAAGAACATATTCCAGATTTGGGGAGAAAACAGAGCCCAACACTTTGCAAACGGAACTACCACGAGAGAAAGCAGCAAACTGGATAGACCGAAAGGTCTGGCCATCAACACGGCAACCGCTCCAAAGCTACAACCACAAGGCGCTCCAACACATAAAACCCAGCACAAAATCTAATCAAAGAGAAGATGAGCAAATCTAAGCGGGGAAAAACCCAAAATCAGCCTAAATCAGAGATCTAGCCGGAGGAGAACAATAGATCTGCCAAGGTGAGACGAAAACGAAACAAATAAGAGCAGATTGAGCCGAACATAAACAAAAATGGCGTAAAAAAATACCCACGGAGCGCACTTATTCGAACACGCCGGGTTTATTGCATCCGGGGTAGACATCTAGCAGCTCCCCACTCCCATGGAAGGGAGCAGGGAGCTCCAAAGGTGTGGAAGATCTTTTGATCTGTTGAGAACTATCCCATATCAACTCCTATGTTGTATCAAAAATTGCAGTTTTTGAAGCAGGATGTGTTTGGGTCATGTTTTCACTCCCTTGACCTTAATGGCCCATCTGGGGCATATATTTTTGTAGGACAATGTAGGATGTGTTGGTGGGTCATATCATCTGATTTTTGTCTATTTACTATGACCTAAAAATACTTTCTTTCTTTTTTACACTCCATATTTTGGGCCAATGATAACTCGACATGCAAGTAAATGTGTCAACTTTATTTCATTATTCTATTTATGTGTGATTGGCCGAAATCATGTAATAATTTCTCAGCTTTGCCGAATTCATTTCTTCTGAAAAATCTCCAAAGTTCACATGCATATGATGCATGCCTGCATGCTTGACTCTGGAAACAGAAAAGGGATAAACATCCATTAATCTCTCTATGAGGTCCTTGGATACCAAACACATTCTACAAAACCCAAAAGATGATAATGCAAAAGGAGTCAATAAAATAGGAATGCTCATTAAAAGTCTAAAAGTGAAAGAAAAAAGGTAAAAGGAGATTTTTATTTTTTTTATTTTTGTATTTTTAAAAAAGGGAATCATATTAGACACCATGTTCTTCCTTCAACTAATCTATGAAAATAGTGTACAAACAAAAAAATTACAAGTCAACGGCCAAGCTATCTGAACTTGCCATTTCTTCTTGACCAAACACCGAGTGGTCCAAAGATAAATAAAATTAATCTTGAACAACTCCTCCTAATAAAGCCTAATATGAACAGAAGAATGTCATTGGATGCTCTATGCTTCCCTAGACAATCATCTTACAATTAACACATAAGGTTGAATCAGAAACCAATATCTGATTTCCACCTTGTGACAATTTCATGAATGAATATAAATTTCTCTTAAACCTAACCACTTTGTTATGATGATTCGGGGATGACGATATGTTGAGCACGGTAGGAGAATGAATTGAAAACAGTCGGTGGTGGAGCAAGATTTCATAACTTCAAGTGCCCATTCCATGATGCTGCTGAATTATTGGATTTCTTCACTGGTTATGCTAGCTGATCAAACACCTTTCTTTTGAAACTGTAACTTAGCTCCTCATTTTCTTTTCCTTTCTGTTACTGACCCTTTTCACTGTATAATTATTGTTAGTCTCCTAGGAAGATGATGTACTCCCAAGTGCAAATCAAGTCGATAAATTCTGTTTAGAGACTGTTCCGGTGGTGGCTTGAGAAGCACTAGCTGCTGCTTCAGTCACTGTTGCTGCTGCTGCTGTTGTTGTTGCACCCACTGCATTTAGCATTCTATTGGTGGTGGTTGTCGATTCTGGTATCATATCCGATAAATGGATCAATAAAATTTTGATAACCATATCAATTGAAATGAAGATGTGAGCTATCATTGGTTAAACTTACAACCTGAAGTAGTAGTTGTCGTTGTCGTTGTGACTGTGATTGAAGAAGGAAGGGGTAGGATCCCAGTGGATCTATAATGCTGAGGTAAATATGGGTATTGTACCATTTGGGGATCCTGAACACCAAAACCATGAGCTTGGCTACTCTGTGCATACTGGGCATAATAAGGATACAGATTGGGGTAAATTCTGGGTGTCCCTGATGCCCCAATGGTGTAATAAGGTGAGAATTGGCCTCCATATAAATCATAATAGTTCTGAAACACCGCAATCAAATTGTTATTGTCGTAGAGCATAAGCTATAAATGCATTAATAAGATAAATACTAACCATGGGATATATGCTGTCTTGGGAATATCCACTATACCTATTAGTTAGAAAAAAACATAGAAATGGGATGGGGAGATTAATAGAGATCAAGATACATAAAAAAAGAACATACATAAAAAAGCATTGATAAGTATTTCTTTATGACCCTATTGCTTACCCATAAGCTGAATAAGGGAATGTAAATTGACCAGTGGGTTGATGAAAATGTATCGAAGAAGAGCCATGATAAGCAGATGGAGACACTAATCCAGGTACTGGTCTAAACCGCCCTGTACCTGCAATATTGTATCGATCTGTCCAAAAGATTAATTTTTTATAATATCCCCTTTGCCTCAATTAAGATAAAAAAAAAAAAAAAAAAAATTATATTTTAGTTCACTATATCAGATGATGAATATTTATCCGAGCATAGCTACTTAATCAACTGTCAAGGTGGAAACAGATGTAAATGAAATTGTGCTGATTATTTCCTGTGCCAAATTTACAGCTCATTTGCTCAATAGTTCACGGTTGAGTCAGAAAAGAATGTTCATTAATTAATACATGTTAGATCTTAAAGGGATCAGAAAGAAGCATTGAATGTATATAGAAGTAAATTCGGGGAAGAAAAGGAATTAATTAGGAGAGAGGTACAAACTATGTTTAGGAGATGGTGGAGGCGGCTTATGTGCACCAAGTGAAGCAAGATTGCAGTTTGCCCTCCTTCCATCAATCACAGGATATGGGTTTTGACAGGCTCTCATGGCAGCATCTGGATCCTTAAATGTAACCTGAAAAATCAATTACACACAAAAGTGTGTGTGAGTGTGTGTATATATAACTCATTATGATCTTGACAAAGTATGAAATTTGAAAGAGAAGGCAAGTGAAATGAATATAGCTAGGCTTACAAAACCATAACCCTTGGATCTGCCGGTAGTTTTGTCAGTGATAACAACAGCCTCCTGGATCTCTCCAAACTGCTCAAAATAACGCCTCATGGCATCTCTCTGAGTCTCCCAAGCCAAACCTCCAACGAAGATTTTGGTGTAGGTGGTGTCATTCAACTGCCCTCCCACCATTTGAAATTATATATATAATTAAAAAATATGAGAAAGAGCAAGTAACCCAAAATACAAATTCAATAATCCAATTAATTCCCGGAAGCAAAATATAGAGATCAAAGAATGAGATGGATGGAGAGAAAAATCAGAAAGAGGCCCTCTGAATGTGATTAACATGCATGATAGTGGTTGATGGTATCACAAAGCTAGCAGTGCTCCTCAAAATTGTGTTTAACTTGTTAGTTTTCCATTACTATAACTTGGACACTTTTTTCACAACTACTCCTAAGATTCCTCCAAATTGATACCCTTAACGAGAAAATCATTACTGTTGAGGGTGGAAAGGAAAGGAAAGGAAAAGAAGAACCAACTAATCAATAATTTATTTATGCATGTGTGTGTGTCTTTGGTGTAACAGTTGAGGAAAGACTTTATATATATATATATATATATGTACTAGCTTGTGTATAAGAAGAGAGAGAAGGGATGACAAATAAGCAGGAGGACCAAGGAAGAAAAAAGAAAGACAAAAAAGCTGCTAGGTCGGCACCCACGACAAAGGTAGGGCAAGGTTGTCCAATGAAAAAAATAAGACCACAACCTGTTCTTTTTTTTTTTTTTTTGGAACTTTATCAGTAGTTCCTATGAATAGTATATTTTGTTGGAGTGGGCTTTGCCAATTTGACAGTACCTCTGCTCCGCTCTTCATGTTCCATGATGATGACCTGTGATGGCACTTGTGGGGTTTCTCCTTGACTCTATTTCTCACTCCTATTTGATTGTGTTCAACTCTCTCTCTCTCTCGGTTGTATTTAACAGATTCTTGTTGCAACATTAATAATTTTGTTTTTTTGTTTTTTGTTTTTTTTGTTTGAAGGTGAGTCAACCTAGGCTCCTACTGCCTACATAACTCAAAAAAGTATCTCTAGCAATTCAAAAACTTACCTCACCTCCTATGAAATTAAGAATGCAACAATAATGTAAAAGATATTACTTTTTCGATCTAGTAGTATTTGTAAATTATAATCCAATATGGGGTGATATGTAGTCGATTCAAATACTCAAATCAATTACATAGGGTTTAGATGTTGCAACTACTCTCTTTAGCCCAAAATATATAGAGTTAATGGGAGCATAGTGTTAAAGTGGGCCAAACGGCTTCCGGCAGCCTTCTAAAACCTTGCTAGAAAGCTTCAAAATTAAAAGGGTAAATTATATTTATATAACAAATTATACTAAAAACGTTTATTATTTTAACCTTCTTTAAATTCATTTGTCTACAGTCTAAAAGTGATTTTGTGTATAAAAAGTCAATAATGCACTTCTATTATAATACATATTATATTACATTTTATACCATAGAATGGCAAAATTGTCATTTTATAAAATTTGATAACAGGTTTGCTAATAAAAAAAATACGCACTAAATTTCAGGAGAGTCCAAAGTAATAAACGCTAAACGCTCTACCCATGTATAATTTGTCTAAACCTAAGGCAAGATCAATGTAATTTATCAAAATTTTAAACTAATATTGGCACCGTGTTCTAATATAAAGAGCAACGACTCTGTTAATTAAGCCTTTGAAAATTTTGATATAATTCTCCATTTCTTATTTTTCATCAAATTTGAACAAAGATGATAAATGATAATTTGGTATTACAAAAAATACCTCATGAATCCAACTTTTTGTTAATTATCATAAAATGAAATCAGTATACAATAAAGGTACCAGATTCTTTATTTTTCTTTTTGTTAAATGTGAATATCATCTAAAATAATACTTCCTCCATCTCAAATTAAATGTTCACAATTTTTTTTAAATGAATGAATTTTAATATTTTTTATCATATTTATAGTGAATGAATTACCAAATATGCTCATAGTGAATTTACAAGATGTAATTATTTACTTTTTGTAAGAAGATTAAATTGATAATATTACCAAAAAAAAAAAAAAAAAGAGAAGTAAGTAATACTTTGACTTTTTAAATGAAATATTTATTTTGAGACAATAAAATAAAAAAAAATAGATATTTAAATTGAGACAGAGTGATTATAATGGTAGGAATTTATGTGGCCCCACACCTCAAATTGCATGGACGGTAACTTTTGAGGATGGCCTACAGGGGAAACTACAGCACCCCACAATTATTTACATTGACAACCTATGGTACAAGCAAACATCATCGCATTGATATGGTTTCTATCTCCACGGAAGGAAGGGCCCCTCTTATTTAGGGCACTAGGACTTAGATGTCCGGCAGCTACCCCCATTCCACCATCTTAGGGGATACTGAAGTCTCTTTACAGAAGTGCCTAAGGTGACAAATTAAAACAAAGGGTCCCTCAAACTATTGTTTTACTTTGTATAATTTCTACGGCGAGGAGCTTTGATCAACACTGTGGGTTGGCCCTTGGATTGAGAATATTTTAGTGTCTCTCTCTCCCTCCTTCTAATGTGTCTAATACGCGCGTGCGTGTGTATATATATATATTGAATATTTGATTTATGAAAAAAAAAAAAGTCTGGAAAATATTTTGAAAAGTGGAATACTTAAAACTGGAGGAATGCTTGCCATTTGTTCAAATTGTGTGGATGGGGATTGCGATATCAGTTTTATTAATAATTTATTTATATTTTGATAAATAATTCCCACACCTAAAACCCTATCTGAGAAATCTAATCAGGGGAGGATTTGAACAGCATGTACTATCAAATAGATATATATGAGTCCAATATGTCTACTACATTTATGTAATCTTAAGATCGAAGAAAAAAAATTTGTTCCAAGGATTCGTTATTTGTGTATTCTGTAGATAAGATCAACCCTTTACCCTTACAACCAGCTTATCTTAAAAGCTATATACATGATGCATATGACTCTGTTCGTAAGGATGAAGGTGGTGGTTTTATCTTGCGTGTTGAAGATGGTAATACAATTCTCAAAGAAGATGTTAGCCAGCTAATTTTTTTTTGGGCAAGAATGTTAAGGGGTTAGTGGTTAGAGGGGAGAGAATGGGTGCAAGGCTCGAATAAAGGTTTCTGAATATAAAGAGCAACCCAATTACTCAGACAACACGACACTTGCTTAACCTGCGATTCAATGGAGGCTATTCTACTTTCCTCCTCCAATTTTTTTTTTTTTTGCCCTTTTAAACTATCAAATCCGGAAATCAATGGCCATGCAATTTGGACCACTATTTGTGAACGAAACATTTGTAATTGGCAAATTTTATTATCAAAATTAGTCCGATGAAGCTGTATTTTTCATGTGTTAAATTAAAGTCTTGTTCTCATAATCGAACCAAAATATTGGGAAGCGTGCTTACATATTTCAATTCGAAGAGAACAATATATTAAGTCAAGGTAGTGTATTAGGACACGAGTGTTCGTTTTTGGTAATGTTTAGGTCAAAACAAATTTTCGTGTTCCATTTAGTTGGAGCCTGGAGGGATGGAAAGTGGATGGAATGGAGAGGAGGAGGGATGGATGAAACATCCCTATGGAATGGAACTACAGTACAATTCTAAGATTACTAATTTGTGTGAATATTTATTTTTTTATCTAAAGAGCGCACGTACTATACACACAAGTGTTTTAGGTTGTTATACTCTCCCTGGTCGGAGTTCATAATTTGAAGAAAATGAGGAAGCGGTCAAACTACGAATCAGAGCATTCGTTGAGTGGTTAATAATTTGTAATCTACCAACAATCATTCTACTAGAGGCATTCAATAATTGGTTTTTGATAGAACACGGTGGGTGTGAGATTGAGTCAGAGTCCATATCTTCTTTCAAAGACAGTGGATTATTTCAATCGTCAAAGTTGAATTTTTTCTTAATTGGATGACTTTCTCCTATTAAGTTTCCTCACTAAAATCTTAGTGTCAAACTCTAACTCTTCTGTAGTACTTTTATTAGTTTATTAGTTCCACTTTATTTTTACTTTGTGACTAATAATTAAAATTTATTTGGATAAAAATTAAATTTGACAAAAAAGGAAATTCATAACCTATTAACCTTCCAGATATTATTCCATATTTATTTTTCAACACCCTTCTACACAAGCAAGATCAAGACCAAGATTATTTATAGAAAAAGTCGTAGCATATTTAGTAGTGCACATGAGTAATGTTCTTCCTCTGCAAATCAATATTGCGATCGCGAATATCATTTTCTTAAAATGGTATTATTTTCATTCTTGTAATTATAATGTTCAATTTTAGTTCTTAATGATAATAAGCAGAGTTTGAAATTGTTAGGCATTGCATTGAGGAATGAGATATGGGTAGGTTATGGAACTTCACAGTTTTCTAGACGTCTTGATGTTGAAGGAATCGCCATTTTTTTTTCCTTTCCCTTTATGCATAAAGATTGATATAATTAATTTTAACAAATGTGAAAAAAAACAAATTAAAACATTCTTTGAACGCATTGTTTGACAAAATTCAAGGTCAAACCCAATTTATCAATGGACTCTATAGCCAACGGTATGACCTCCGCCTCCGCCTCCGCCTCCACCACTGCTCGCTGTTGCCAACCAACGCCGACCCTCTCTCTCTCCCTCCCTCCCCATCGTTCCCTCTTCTTCTAATTATATTGTAGTTTATATTACATATGTTAGTGATATGTATATTTTTGCAACATCATATATGAACAAAAAGGCTAGACCAAAAGCATCTGCTTGGGGCCAAATCTCGTACCATATATGGAGATCATGAAGAGGACACGACATAATTCGAGTTTTACTAGATTCGTGGGTGTCACACACGGTCCGTAGACCTGCTTATAAAAAAAAAAAAAATTTGAAACCATGGAGAGAAATTTGTTTGAAAATATGTTTGCTTCTGTAGACTTGGAACTTGAGTTCTAAGTCTATGTACCAAGAGGCTGCTTAAAACATAGGGTTTTGTATTGTATACAGTGAATGGGTAATTTTGTACTCCCTTAGTTTCAAAATTATTGTCCATCTTTCAAATTCTCAAATTATTATTTTGAAATTAGCTTGATTAAACAAGTACACCAAGTACTCTGTCTTTTATAAAAGTTGAATTCCCCATATACCTTAGGAATTTTGGGACAGAAAAGTATATGTAAAGTGGGGTCTAACCCAATTGCTAGATTAGACCACCTAACTCAGGAGGACAAACTTTGTTCTCCAGGATCCAAGGAAAACAAATAAATAAATAAGAGAAAACTCTAATAGATGGTAATATATCATTAAACAGAACAAAAAAATTAAATTGCTCGCGATAGTAATGATAATAATTAATTTCTTATGGAACTCCATGTCTATTTACATATACACATATAAAATTACTAATTCGCAGGATATTTCTTCCCGATCTAAGTTGATGTTGAAGCAACCATCATATTCTTGGAAAATAAAAATTGATACCTTTACCAGGAAAGGAAAAAAAACCATTATTTTCTTGTTTGGTGATAGTTCCCTGCAGATATGTTTGTTTGGTGATAGGGACAACACGAGCTATCCATCTTCCTTTGAGGCACTCCTGCATGATCAGACTTCCAAGATCTGTCTGCCCCTTT